TGGCCCCGCTCCGCGTGGGCGCCGTGCACGCCGGCGGCCCTGGCCTCTCCCTCGCGCGGATGACGTGCACGTCCCGGCCCCGCCCCCGGCGGTGTGCTCCAGGAGCCGGGCTCCGGGAGGGGCAGTGAGGGCGGGCCCGGCAGCCTGTGGCTTCGCTGTCGTGCGAGCCCCGCGCAGGACCCGACGTGGGGGTGCCTTCCTCAGCGGACCCCTGCGGCCTTTGCTCCCCGCGCAGTGTCCTCAAGGGCGGACGCGGGGCGGGGCGAGGCGCGCGGGGCCGGGAGAGCTCCGGGACGGAGGGCACGGCGGCCGCCCGACCCCGACGGGCGCGCGGTTCTGCGCTCGGGCGTCCGCGTGTCCTCGGAGAGCCTGCGCTCGGTCGTCTGCCGGCGCTTGAGTCCGGGCTGTGGGTTGAGGCGCTGCCCGCGCGTTCCGGAGGTTCCCCCATCCCCCATCCGACACGTGGTTCGCGCATATTTTTCTCCCGATTTTAGGGTTTACATGGTCTGATTTGTCTACTTTTGGTTTTGTCGTCTGTGCTTTTGGTGCCTCATCCAAGAAATCACCGCCACGTCCAGTGTCCGGAACCTCTTCCCCTGCGTTTTCTCCCAGGGTTTTTATGGTTTCGTGTCTTACAGTTAGGTCTTTAATTCATTTTGAGTTGATGGCTGTAAATGACGTAAGATGAGAGCCGGTCTTCACTCTGCGCGTGTGGACGGCCAGTGTTCCTAGCCCCGTTTGTGGGAGCGACTGTCCTGTTCCCTGTGCAGTCCCTGCCCCATCGGGACCTTGTGGCCCTGTGCGGGGGTCCTTTCTGGGGTCTATTCTGTTCTGTCGATTTCCTGTCTTTATGCCAGTACTCTACTGTTTTTTGGTTTTATCTTTTAAAATTCTTTTCCTGGTGGTGGTAATTTGTTTATTTACTTATTTTTCTTTATTACTCTTTTTTTCCCTACTTTAAATACTTTATCTTGTTTATTTTTAGTTTTCTACTTAACTGCTTAGTTCGTTAATTCTTTGTTAATTGAGTGTATAAGTCTATAAAGTTACTTAAAAGATTGTTCTTTAATTTCTTATTAGTTCGTTTGGAGGTGAAGGGGCTGTGTTTATCTGTCTCTTCCTGATTTTCAGTTTGTTTACACTCAGAGTGGAAGAGCGTGTCCCGTGAGATTTCTGTTCTCTGGGGCGTTTTGAAGGGTTTCTTTGTCCATTCGTAGGTGGTCAGTTTTCATAACTGGTCCACAGATTTTGGGGAAGTATGGTTACTCTTTGTAGGGTAGTGAATTTTACATGGAGCCTGTGGTGATGGCACCCAGTGTCCCATCTAGTTTCTTCCTAGTCAGCCTATCAAATTTGAGAGAACTGTGTTAAAATGTCCTGTTATTGTGGTTTTGAGATTTCTGTTTGCAGCACGTTTTGCTTTATTTAGCTGGTGTTGTGTTCCCGTGTGTCCACAGATTTGCAACTGTCTCATCTGTCAGATTATTGTTTTCTTTCAGTAATTAAGTGCTCTTCTTTGTCTCTTTCAGTGTTCCCTTGCCTTGAATCTCATGTCGCCGGCCACATCACTGCTGCCCCTTCTGGGTGACCCTACTTGGTGTGTCCCAGTGCAGCCGTTGGGTCTTCACCTTTTTGTGTTATTTTTTAGTGTCTTGTAAACAGCATATCCTGGATTTTGCCTTTTTGTCCAAGGTGATAGGGAATCTAACATAGGTCATGTGATCTTTGTTACTTTCTCCTTTAGTTCTGTTTTGTCCTTTCCTAGTTGAAATGTCCCAGTCCCTTCTACACCCACCCTAGTCTCCTGTCATATTTGTCTTAAAATTGTTACCAGTATCTTTAAACTTACAGTTTTCTATTTCAAGAATTACTCAGTGTCAAAGTCTCACCCAAATCAGGATGTATTCTTTTAACATGCTTTTAATCCCAGCTCTAGTGATTTGTGTTTTATTAAAAATAGTTAGAAATCTTAATAATGGTACTATTTTTAAAACATATATCCCGACAATATCTTTTTTAGCAACCAAATCGCTAAAAAAAGCCCAAACCAACCCAAAACAAAATGCCCACGGTGGAAGCAGGCTGTAGCCACAAACTACCCAGGGCTCAAACCTGACTGCCCCCTGGTGGCCATGTGGCCTTGGAGGCTGTGTGGTATCTGTGTCGTTTGCTCACCCAGAAGGGGCGTCAGTGGAAGCAGCTGCCTGGGCTGGGCGGCTGATCCTGGTGATGTAACACGACCAAGAGGCACCGCTCACTGCCACACAGCCCCTCGGTCCTATGGGGAGTACCACTTGGGGACCCTGGCAGGCGTCAGGGGCTGCTGCCAATCTCTGTGGCCTCAGAAACCTTCCCTGGGTCCTTTATGTGAGCCAAGACTGGCAGGGGATGGAAGGGGAGCTTCCGGGATCTCATGGGGCTTTCAGGGGAGAGCTCTGTCAGGAAGGCCCTTGTAGATGCTGGGAGCCAGGAGAAGCGGTCTGGCCAGGGCCCAGAAGGAGGCTGCTGAGTGCTGGCGAAGAGACGGGGTCTCTGTCTCAACTGCTCCTGCTGGTAGTGGGGGATTAAATGAGCTGGCCAATCCCCTCCTCTCCGGTGCCTCCCAGGGTCTTCCCGATCTGCCCTCCCCCTCCTCCGCTATCTTCCGGTGCACGCCTGCTTCCAGGCTGCCTGTGGCTCTCTCCCAGCGCCCCCTCCTCATGCCTCAGCCCAAACTGCCCCTCTTGCGTGAGACGTGCCTGAACGATTCTGTCCAGAGGTCTGGTCCCTGGTGTTGTCTGTCATAGAACCCCATACGGTTCCTTCAGTGCACCTAGGGCAGTTGCTGTAATCAGCATAATTCATTAAATCGCTTGGTTATTCTTGCCCACCCCAGAGGCTGGAAGCTCCATAAAGCCTCATCTTCCAGCTCCCAGCCCAGAGCTGCGCACAAGGCAGGCACTCGTGACGGGGAGAGTGTGTGCGCGGGCGTGCAAGGGACCCTCCTGAGCCAGCCGGCTTTCCCTTAGTGAGAGAGAGATGTTTAAACAGATGCACACGCCTGCAGACAAAAGGGCAGAAGACGTGAGCCGGAGTCTCACAAGAGTAAACACAGCGAATAAGTATGTGAAAACCATGCTCACCCTCACGTGTAATCCACGAAATGCCAAACAAGGCAGCAAGCTACTGTGTGCACGTGTGCATGAGTATGTGCGATGCTGGTGCAGGCTAGCGCCCCACCCCTCATGGCAGGGCATGCACTACCCACCGGCCGTGCACCACCTGCAGCAGGCCACCCGGCCGGGGCAGGGGAGCCCGGTGAGCAGGTGCAGGGTGCACAGCCACTCCAGCTGAGGGTCAGGGAGGCCATGTGTCGGTGGGGGGACCCTGGGGAGCCTGTGCATGGAAGGACTTGGGGGGTCGCCCTGACCAGGGGTAAAGCTGCCTGGTGAGGCATGCTCCTGCCCCAGGGCTGTGTGCACGGCAGCACTGAGGCGCGTGTGTCTGCTGCAGACCCGTGCCTGTACATCCCGCGCTTCGCCCACCTGTTGGAGTTCGGGGAGAAGAACCACGAGGTGTCCATGACGGCCATGAGGCTCCTGCAGCGGATGAAGAGGGACTGGATGCACACGGGCCGGCGCCCCTCTGGCCTCTGTGGGGCAGGTACGCCAGGCTTGGAGTCCCGCTGGCTGCTGTGGTGGTGGTTTTGCAGGCTGAGCTGGTGGGTTGTCTCAGAGCCGCCACCCAGGCCCCCGTGCTCAGCACTAACCCAGCCGTTAAGGACTTCCACCTGCTCCCCATTGACCACCATAGTCCTGGGGGAAGGGGCAGGACCCTCAGAGGCCAAGGAGACTGCCAGGCTCCCTGGTCTTGAACCCGGGCTTAACTCCTGGGGTTCGGCCAGCCCTGCCCTGGTCCTGGCAGTGAGTCATTACTGAGAGGGTGCCCCGGCCTTTTGGGCTGGCTCCCCAGCCCCCAGAGGGCAGTTGTCCTGTCTCTCTCATGGGCGGCAGCTGCCCGCAGAGAGTCCTGCTCTGTTCCTGATGCCATTGGGTCTGACGTAGCCCCCAGACCTGGAGCCCCTCCCCAGGGGGGAGGCCCTTCAGGCAGCAAGACCCTTAGTCTCCTCAGGCGCCCTCATGCCCTTTCCTGGCACCCGCAGGCCCCACTCCTTCCTGGAACGCCAAGGGAGGAGCAGCATCAGCGCTGCGGAGGGTCATTTTCTGTCTGCGAGCCTGTCTTCCCAGTTTGCACTGGAGGTCTGGGCATTTCCAAGGGTCTGGCTGGCCGTCAGTGCTGCGCGCACTGGGGCCACCCCCTTTCTCCCCAACTTTGGGCTGTGTCCTCAGAACCCTCAGCTCCTTTGCCACCTAGCATGTCCTGTTTGAGTCACTTCAGAGATACTGTGTTTGTTTCGAGTGGTTACATAAGGTTCTCAGAAAATGTATTTTAATCCTTCTCATATTTGAAAATGGAATATGTGATGCAGCGCTTTCTATGTTTTGTTTTAATGATTTACTTTTTTTGTTTTTGCTGAGGAAGATTCGCCTTGAGCTAACATCTGTGCTAGTCCTCCTCTATTTGGTATGTGGGTCACTGCCACAGCATGGCTGATGAGTGGTGTAGGCCTGCACCCAGGATCTGAACCCGAAAACCCGGGCTGCCAAAGTGGAGCATACCGAACCTAACCACTACACCACGGGGCCAGCCCCGTCTATATTTTTTTAAATTATGGCATAATTGCCTGCATAGCAGCACATGGATCTTAGGTGTTCTGATAGTCGCACAGACCATGTGGCCACCGATCACGGTGAGGTAGAGAGCACTGCCTTGCCCCAGCACCCCTGGGCAGTCCCGTGTGCATCACCCAGGCTGCAGTCTCGCTGCCCAGGTCATTAGCCCTCTGAGCTCAGGACCGGCCCTGGCTGTCCTGGTGGCACCGGAAGCGTCCTGTATCCTAATTCCCCATCATGTTCCTTTCCAGCACTTCTAGTTGCAGCCAGGATGCACGATTTCCGGAGAACCGTCAAAGAGGTCATCAGCGTGGTCAAGGTGTGCGAGTCCACACTGCGGAAGAGGTGGGCGGCTCTTGTTCACAGTGTTGGGGCCGGGGACGCTCTATCCATTGGGTTCTGCCGGGACCCAGCATGGTCCGGGTGGCAGAGGGCACACCCACTCTCTCCAGAGCGCCTCGGTCAGTCCTTGTGGGGCAGCACCTGCTGTGTCCGCAGTGGCAGCTCCTTTCTTCCATCCCGTGGTTCTAAGTTAAGGCAAGGTGGATGGTGGTTTGTAAAGTTGCCCTGACTCACAACACTCAAGAAACGGGCACTGAGAGTGGCCTTGCCTGCCTCCTGGTCAGTGTGGCTGAGTGACCGGTCCCCCTGGGGGAAGTGGGGCTCGAACAGAGGGCCACCACGTCCGTTTGACTGAGAGGGGTGAGCTCCTGCTTTGGGGCGCAGTGTTCATGGGGTCACTCCGGCTTAGCTCCATTAGATGATGACATGACAGCAAGCCCAGCGTTGCTGACAGACCTATAATTGCGGCTTTATTATGGCCAACGTGGGGCATGTGATGAGGTCATATCCTGTGGCAGTTTTCAAAGACAGAGGGAAAATTATTTTCCTTATTTGATCTCTAATTCTCTTTAAAAGTTTCTTTATTAAATATTTTGAAGATTTTATAAAATGTAGGAAATGGGCCAAGTTGGTAAGAATTAACCTTGTGGGGCACACCGCAGTGCAGAAACCCTGCCTGCTGGCGACTGCCTGAGGCTGCGGCTCTGCCGCCTTCCCTCCAGGGCCTTCTCCGAGTCTCCCTGTGGGGCCAGTGAGGGTGCCACGGCCTCTCCTCCCGGGGCCCTGAGCTCTTGGTGGGGTCAAGAGGCTGCCAGAGAGCCATGGGGCCTGTGCTCATGGCGGAGTGCCACCAGGGCGCTCGGCCAGGCACTAGGATCCTCTGAAGGACCATCTCGTAAGCGGGTGCCGGTTTACATGGCTGTTCTCAGGGCATCGGGGCCCCCTTCGCTGCTCTGTTTCAGGCTCACGGAGTTTGAAGACACCCCCACCAGCCAGCTGACAGTGGATGAGTTCATGAAGATCGACCTGGAGGAGGAGTGTGACCCCCCTTCGTACACTGCCGGGCAGAGGAAGCTGCGGATGAAGGAGGTGAGCCACCCCACCGTTGAGCTCCTCGTAGCGCTTTGCAGACCCAACATTTCATGTTCTTATTTCAAAACAAGTGGCTTAGTTATGAAGGCTAAACTGGATTATCGTCCAGGCACAGCTGGTGGGGAGAGGTGGCCAGACGAGGGTGGGGAAGGCGCTGAGCTCTGGGGGATGTGGGGAGCAGGCCGCACTGACCTCAGGTCCAGTCCGTGCTGGTCCTGAAACCGTGTCATCAGTGTAGGATCTGCCCCAGACTCTCCCTCGGGTGCTTCTAGCTCGGTTTCTCGGGGAAGCACGGCCTCTCTCTAGGGCCTGCCAACCTCCCGGCACCCTCGAGCATGCTGCTTTTCACCCGTGGTCAGCACCAATGAGGCGAGTTCCAAGCCAGGCCAGCGTCAGAATCCAAAGGGCCCAGTGGTCAGTGTCGAGAAGCTGCGGGGGCGCCAGGCGGGCCTCCCGCTCACACTGCTTGCACCCTTTCATGGAATGATCTCATCTTCGTTTTCAGCTTGAACAAGTCCTGTCAAAACAACTGGAGGAAGTAGAAGGTAACGAGCGACCTCTGCACACAGATGCTTCAGGTTCCTTAAAAGGATGGATTTTGTGCTTATGTTCTGCTTTTAATGTATTAATTCAGGTGAAATATCCAGCTATCAGGATGAAATTGAGATTGAACTAGAAAACAGCCGGCCAAAGGCAAAGGGGGCCCTAGCCAGCCTGACAAAAGATGGTGAGTCCAGCCATGTCCCCCGAGCCCCCCAGGCCCCCAAGTTCTTCACTGTGCCAGGTGCACCCCCGTCCCGCTGGCCTTCAGCACCACCCCCCCACCGCCTCGTTCCACAGCCACATGGTCCTACATCATGGGGCCCCGCTCCCACCCCAGGACCCGATGCACTGTGCCGAGTGTCCAGCTGCCCCAGGGCCCCCCACGCCACCCTGTCCCCCAGGTCCCAGCACTGTCCTGAGCAGCTCCTCAGTGCCGAGTCTTTCAGATAGGTCTCCTGTCCCCGTTGCCCTGAGCTGCAGTCCCGTCTCCCTGAGGGAGGGAGCTCGGCCCTGCGCGCGCCCCCTCCTGAGCCCCTTGCACTGCTGCCCCCTCAGTGCCGTCCCGTCACAGCTCAGGTGCACCCCCATTTCCAGTTTGGGGCTTTGCAAGGCTGCTGTGAGCGAGCGTTCTCGGGCAGATCTTTTTGTGCACATGTGGTTTTCACTTCTCTCCAGTTTGCTCCCATGATGCCGTCCTTCCCAGTGCTCTGGGGACCCTCTCTGTGGTTTGGGGCTCCGCCTCCATCGTGCACTCTGCAGGTCCGCCGTCTCTCTGGCTGTCAGAACCAGGACTGGGTGCTGAGTGAGCGTTTGTGCCACGAGCAACACCCGCCAGATAGCCACGGTCTGGGCGGCGAGGCCTCCTTGCGCTCTTGCCTTGGGGTTTCTGCGGCTGCTCTTGGTCATTTGTTCTTACCTCCTAAAGTCCTCTTGTCCACCCCAGCCCACCCCAGCACTCTGCTCTGTCCTCAGCCTGGAGAAGCTGGCGCTGTGCCCCTCCCGAGAGCAGGCTCCGCCCTCCATCCCGCCCTCTGGCCCACGCCCACCGCCCTGTTGCTGCCCTTTCCCTTGTCTTCCGCCGTGCTGTTTGTGCAAGACACGGATGTGCAGGTGCTACCTGTGCGCTCTTGCACGTTAGGATTCCGTACTGCTTTCAGTGCTTGGCAGCTCCTCGTTGGAGTTTTTAAGTAATTAACTGTCTTCCACAAAGAGTGACGCTGTTACTGCCTGTCACTGATTTCCAGGCCCTGAGTTTCTCTCTCCGCCCTAATCGGTTGCCTCACCCTTCAGCCCCATGCTGAGTCGAGGTGGAGCAGGCGTGTCTCTGGCTTCCCTGCAAGGCCTCCGTGCCGCCCAGACACTTGGTGCAGGCTTTGGGCTGCGATGCGACCTTATCCTGGGTTCACAGCCTCTTCCTGTCCCAGCTGGGGTGAGGGCCCTGATGTCTGCAGCATCTGGAGAGGACGTGGGCATTGCTCGGATCGACAGATGCAACCCCTCACCTTCACGGTGGCCTGCGTCGAGCCTGCCTGTCCAGGACGGTGGTCCTGTCAGGTCTCGTGGCAGCGTCTGTCCCCTCTGGGCCACCAACACTTTGGATAGAGTTGAACACAATTGTGTCTTGAGATACTTTTTGTTTATTGTTTCCACGGTTATTTTCTTTTTTATCTTTTCTTATTTTGCATGGTTTTGTTTTCTGTTTGTTTTTTTTCCTAGCTAGTTTATTGATTTCCCATTAAACCAGCCTTTGCATTATTTATTAATTCTGCTGCCTTCTTGTTTACTAAGTCAGTAACTTCTGCATCCACCTCTTTCCTTCCGCCTTCTCTCCTTGTCCTGACCTTTTGGTCACTGCTTGACTGGTTTGCTCTGACGCTGGGGCCACGCATATGCAGGCAGGGTGTCTGCTGAGCGCCGTCTCAGCTGCAATCCTTGTCCTGCGGTCAGACGCTTTTTGTTGCTCACAGTCTCAGGTTGTTTTTCTCTTTGGCTCTAAGAGTTGAGGGAGTTTAAGGTTTGGGGGAGCGTGAGTGGCCTTTTGTTTTCCGATTTGGTTGTTAATTTCCACGTTTATTGCGTTGTGACTGGGAGTGTTGCTGGCGCTGTCCCTCCCTTGTGTGACCTACTGCATGTTTGTGACCAGGTCCCTCGGTTCGAGAAGCCCATGGGCACTTGGGGAGGAGGTCCCCTCTGCTCCCGCCCGGGCTCCCACCTCCATCAGGTCATCTTGCTGCTTACGTCTTCAGGTTTTCTGATCCTCCCTTACTCTGCCCAGCGAGCTCTCGTGGATCGATGTTGGCTGCCCTTGCTGAGACTCCCGTGGTCACCGTTTTACGACTGTATCGCGCATGTTTTGGCGCTTGGCTCTGCGTGACGTTGAGGGCTGGGCTCAGCCTTGCACCCTCCTTGGGTCTGAGTGCACGCCCTGTAGTGTCCCTGCATCTGCTGCTCTGCTCTCCCCACCTTCCTTGACCGTTCCTTCATGTCTCCCTCGTCTACACAGCACAGAGTTGGGCTCTGCTTTCTGGTGCAACCAAAAACTTTTTCGAGGGTTGAAGCAAGCTCGTTCATATCTGTCAGTGTGCCTTTTTGCGTGCCGTTCTCTGGACCTTGGGAAGTTTTATGTTTTTGTCCTGCTGGTTTTCTGTGTGTCATTTCTTCAGTCCTCTGTTTCTCGGGCAGTGACTGTCTGTACCTGCCCTGGCCGGCAGACAGCGGCTTTTCCTCCCCTGCCCGGCTGTACGTTATCGTTGGCCACGGCTGTCTGGTGCTGTCCAGGGGGCCACCCCGTCTGCTGCTCCGGTTTCAGCTTCTCACACGCTTCTCCTCCCAGTGAGACTGTCGGGGACGTGTCCCCTTCCACACCCGCCGCAGTGTGGTTATCCAGATTGTTTCCGCGTTGTTAGGATAGTGGACATTTTACCCCATCCTGCTCCCCGACCTGTCTGGTACTGAGCTTGGGATTAAGCAGAGTGGGTCTGGCCCACCTTGGGTCGTGGCGCTGCTTCTCAGATCCCCTACCCCTGAACCACATCCTTGATCTTCGCAGCCTGGGGTCGCAGGATGGCCTGCTTGGAGGGAACATGGCTCCCATGTTCCCTTTCTTCTGTGTGTCTCTCTGCTGCCCGAGATCCTGCGAGGAGAGGGGAGGCGGGTTGGTGCAGGAACCTCAGTCTAGTTCCTGGTGGAGGTGCTGGGGCAGGGCTGGAAGCACTTAGAGGAAAGATAGAGAAAGAGACAGGCCAAGGAACCAGGTAGGAGTCCTTCTCTCAGAAGAATGTGTTGTGTGTGTCCAGAGTGCCGGGCTCTGGGACCCTGCGGCGGACAAAGCGGACAGAGACTGCTGCCCTCCCACTGCTGGCCCTCCTGCAGGGACGTCCGGCGACACACACGGTAATGAAGTGGGCTCCACGGTGCAGCTGCACATGGAGGGAAGGGGCCAGAGAGGACGGTGTTTCAGGAAGGGCCTGAGGGAGTCAGGGAGCTGTGCATGTGGATTGGGGGTGGCGTGTGTTCCACGCCAAGAGCCTGGCAAGTGCCCAGGCCAGCCTGGGTGGGGCACAGCAGGGAGGCCGGCGTGGCCAGTGGGAGAGCCATGGGCTGGGGTGTCCTGGGTCAGGCTGTGCAGGCCGTGCAGGACTGTGGTGTTCATGTGGGGTGCAGTGGGAGCCCTGGGAGGGCCTGAGCAGAGGAGGGACATGGTCTGACTCAGGTTTGAGGGGAGCGTTGACTGTAGGAGCGAGAGCTGCGCTGGGAGGATGAATGGCCTGAGGCCGGCCAGGTGGAAGTGGTGGAGCCAGGGGAGGAGGTTTGACTCTGGAGGTTGGACTCTTCTAGGGCTCAGCCAACAGGATGGGAGTGTTGATGTCCATGGCACGTGGTGGCCAAGGCCTGGGCCTGTTCACCCCAGGCTGGGGCACCCAGGACCTCAGGGCAGAGATCCACCTGATTTGTCCAGAAGAACCATCACCCCATAGGACTTTGCTGCTCTTGGGGAATCTAATGTTTTTTCCTCAGGGAACCATTTCTCAAGACATAAACCCCTCATAGGGCGTTCAGTGCTAACCATGAACTTCATAACACACTTAGAAGACAGCAAGTTAAAATGAGGGAAGATTTTGTAGGGTACTCTTTGTTAAAATTAAGTCATTGGGTGACTTTTTGTTAACTTTATTGAGGTGTAATTGACATATAGCAAACAGCACATATCTAAAATGCGATATTTGGTGAGTTTTGACATATGAGTACACCTGTGACACCATCGCCATGATCAAGATAGTGGACATATGCATCACCCCCAAAAGTGTCCTCCCACCTGCCTTGCCCCCAGGCAACCACTGAGCTGCTTTCTGTTGCTAGTGTCACCTTAAAAAGCAAATTCGCCTGTTATTTTATCTCAAAATGAGTTTATTTGGGAATAGCCAAAAGAATCGTAATTCGGGATGTGTGTGCTATGGCAAACCGTAGGCAAATCCAGCAAACAAAGGAAGGGAGCTGCTTTTATAGAGAAGAAGGGAGAGTAGGGAGGAGACATTCTGAAGGAAAGTCCATTGGGGGAGAGTAACAGTTCAGTGTGGCAACCGCCCCTCATTGCCTGAGCTGTGGCCTTTCTCATTGGCTGGGCTGTGGCCTTTCTCATTGGCTGGGCTGTGGCCTTTCTCATTGGCTGAGCTGGGGTGTTCCCTTTGGCTGGGCTGCAGTGTTTCATTGGCTGAGCTGAGGTGTTTCTCATTGGCTGAGCTGTTGCAAGGCTGTTGGGCTCTTCCTCTTGGGTGTAACTGACATGTGTGATGGGGTGTGAGAGCTCCCCCTACAGGCCTTCCTGATTCCAATTTAATTAAAGTTTTTAAAATTAACTTCCACATCCAAGTTAGTGTATCTTCTAGAATTTTATGTAAATAGGATCACGTGGTGTGTACTCTTTGTTCTCTCTGGCTTTTTGACCCAGTATATTTGTTCTGAGTCACCATCAGAAGTTCCTCTTGTTGTGGGGTGATGATCGTTTATCCAGTCCTGGGTTGTAGGGTGTTGGGTTATTTCCAGTTTGGGACTCTTGCACACAAACCACTGTGAACACCTGTGTACAAGTCTTCACGTGAACGTTTGTTTCCTTTTCTCCTGGTGAATACTGAGTTGTGGAACTGCTGGGTCGTGTGGGGCGTGGTCGCACCGTGTCCACTTCTTGGTAGATGGAAAGTGGTAGCTCGAGGTGGCTTCATCTGCATCTCCGTGTGACGTGACGGCAGGTGCTTGTTTACCATCCACGTGTCTTCTTGGCTGAAGTCTCTGTTCACATCTTTTGTTGAGTTGTGTGTTCTCTTCTTGGGGTTTTGAGAGTTCTTTATGTATTGTAGACACAAGTCCTTTATCAGATGTGTAATTTGCAAATAAGTCTGTGGGTTGTCCTTTTGTTCTCTTAACAGTGTTTTTCAAAGGGAAGAGTTCTCAATTTTGATGAAATCTAATTTGTCCATGTTTTATAGATTCTGCTTTTAGTATCATATCTGAGAAGTTTTTTCCCAATCCAAAATCACAAACATTTTCTCCCATTTTTTTTCTCAAATGTGTATAGTTTTAGGTATTATGTTTGTCTGTGACCCATCTTGAGTTGCTATTTGCATAGTGTGAGGTGTAGGCCAAGGTCCATTCTTGGGCGCGTGGACATTGGGCATCTTTGGGACCAGGCACATCTTTTGGTGGTTCTTTCGTTCTCGGTTGTTTAAAGAAGTGCAATAAAAGCCTTTTGCAGCCGAGCAGAAGTGTTTCTCTCCACAAAAGCAGGCTCTCTCTGGCTTTCTGCCTGGTTAACACGTGGTCTGGGAAATTGTGTCCCTAGGCTCCGCCGACGACACCACATCCAGCGTATTTGGCGAGGAGGATGGGGAGGATGAGGAGCTGGAGGCCGCAGCCAGCCACCTGAACAAGGACTTTTACCAGGAGCTCCTCGGCAGCGGCATTCCTGGCAGCTCAGAGGCGGCAGGAAGCCCTGAGCGGGGCAGCAGGCCTCCCGCCCTGGAGTCCCTGCTCGGCCCCCTGCCCACGGCGGCCAGCCTGGGCATTTCAGACTCCATCCGAGAGTGCATCTCCTCCCAGAGCCGCGACTCCAGTGAGTGGCATGGGAGGAGCAGGGCGGGGGTTGGAGGGGTGGGGGGCTCCTCTGGGTGAGTGTGGTGGGGCTGAGGTTCAGGTAGAGGTTTCCAGGTCTGGGTCGTCCCTCCCGTCTGTGGGAGGTAGAGGTGCTGCTTTCAAGGTGCAACCTTCTAGAAGGGCGGGCTTGGGGGGCATTGCCAGCCCCGCCCTGCAGGGCTGTGTGAGCCATCAGTGACTGGCGTGTGCTGACATCCCCGGTGCCTGCAGGGCTCATCCCCGTGTCTGGGCCTTCCCCGCTGGCTAACCTGGTGGGAAAGCATTGACTGAGGGCACAGTCTCCGCTGCTTACACGGACGGCAGTTGCTGAGCTCCAGCAGCGGTGGTGACGGGCGCCTGAGCAGGGGCCAGTTGCTCCCCACCATTGCAGAAGGCCTGGGATGCTGGCAGCTCCAGGAAGAAGGCGGGTTTGGTTCCATCACATTTCACTCCTGGGAGCAGGTCCTGGTTCTCTGCCAGAATGGGCTCCCCAGGTGCACCCACTGCAGAGCACTGGCCCCACCTCCTCCCCAGGTGCTGAGAGTATGGCCTCTGTGAGCGGGGTGCTACTCAGAGACACCGTTCAGCTGCTCAGACATTGGTTACGTGCCCTGTGGGCCGGGCATGGCAATGGGCAGCTGTGCACCTGCCCTGGTGGCAGTGGTGGTCTGGAGGAGAGAGGGACAGTGACACAGCCCATCAGCTAAGTACAGGCAGGTTATACCATGAAGGGCTGCTGTGTGGACTGTCATAGGTCCCTCAGAGCACAGGCAGAGGGCACGTGCGAAGGCCCCGAGACAGCCGGGGTGCTGCGACTCTGTAGCAGGAGGAGGCCATTCTGGCTGGAGCTCAGAGAGCGAGCAGAGCAAGGCAGAGCACGGAGGGGCGCGAGGGGCGCGTGAGCGCCAGGGGAGCGACGACGTGGCAGAGAGCATTGCAGAAGGCCTGTGTGTGGGCTGGAATCCCAGGACTTGGCAGAGGACCTTCGGGTGACTTCGGGGCCATGCAGGTTGTGCTGTTGACCAGCTGGGGCAGGAGGGCAGTGGCCAACAGGTTTTGGGGGTGTCCTGTGCATGGTCACGGAAGGCTTGAGGGCCCCTCTCCTGGATTGTTGAGCAGAGAGGTGGATGACCTGCCCTCTCCCGGTCAGGGAACGCTCCTTCTGGACAGGAGAGCATAGGGATGGAAAGGTTTCTTCTGTCACTCCAGGTTAGCGTCCTGCTTCCTCCACGTGTTGCCGGGAGGTAAGCCCCGTCCCCTGTGGGCACACAGAGGGCAGTGCCAGCACCCACTGGTGGCGAGGGGAGCGGGGTTCTAGAAGCCCTTGGACAAACTCCCGAGTTCTGAGATACCAGGTGATGTTTGTACTCATTAACCAGCAGTCGACCCTACATGACACTGGCCCTGTGCTTCCCTCTAGAAGATGCTTCTGGGGACGGCGAACTGGACCTCAGTGGCATCGACGACCTGGAGATCGACAGGGTAAGTGGCTGTGTGCTCTGTGTGCCCCTCCCAGGGTTAGCCGGGGTCTGTGGTCTCTTTGCCCGCGCCCCTGTCAGGAGGGCCCCGAGCCTGCACCTGGCTGTTGCCACCTTGTGGCCTGTGACGGCAAACACCATTCGCACCTGGAGCCATCTGATCGGGCATCTCCAGTCTCGGGGGTGCCCCGACCGCAAGTTTGCCGCAAACTCCAAATCCTGAGTTGTGGCCTCCAGGCTTAGCAGGTGTCCAGCAGCGCTTGCTCTCCAGCAGGCAAGAAGCTTTTTCCTGATTCCATCGTCACGCGGCATCTGAGACCACCCGTTGGTTCCTCCGTTGGCATCTTGCACCCTCAGCTTGGTCCCTTCTCAGGGACCCGTGTCCCTGAAGTCTGGGGGGCCCAGCTACTGTGTCTGCGAGGTGTATGAGCTGCCGAGGGACAGGGGGATGTTGCAGGGCCAGTTCATGGACCCTGAGGTTGGCCTTGGCGAAGTCGGAGGATGATAGGTGTCCCCGACGTGCTCTCGACGATGAGCTGTTAGCTCTCGACGATGAGTGACGTGCTCTCCGCACGTGTCCCCCTGGGTCGGAGGCCCCGTCTCTGACCAGTTTACACGAAGGGGAAAGTGTTGTGCCTGAGAGCCAAATGTGCCCTCTGAGCGTGGCGCTGTGTCTGCCCCAGTATATCCTGAATGAGGCTGAAGCCCGCGTGAAGGCCGAGCTGTGGATGCGTGAGAACGCCGAGTACCTGCGGGAGCAGAGGGGTAAGCGCCACCGGCCCGCCTGCCCACCCGCCTGCCCACTCGCCCATCTGCCTGCCCATCTGGCCTGGGCCCCTCACTGATCCTGACGCTTGTGGGCCTTTCAGAAAAAGAAGCAAGAATAGCAAAGGAGAAGGAGCTCGGCATCTACAAGGAGCACAAGGTAGGGCGTGCCGATGCACGGGGAGACCCGCCTTTCCCTTCCCCGAGTGGCTGTGCAGGCGGTGGGGGTGCACTCTGGGCCCAGACCCTCATCCCTGGCCGTCCAGTCCTGGCTGTGCTGCCCTCCCGGCGGACGGACGTGCCATCTGGGGAGAGCCCCCAGGTGGGCCGGGTCGGGACTCGGGGCCCATGCCGAGCGCCCTGGGCTTGAGTCTTCGTCAGGAAGAGAGGCCTGCCTGGCCTCCCAGGGCCCTAGCCCACCTCTGTGACCAGGAAAGCCTCCTTGTCGTGCCGTCTCTGTGCTGTGGTGGTCACAGCACAGTGACCTGCCTTAGCTGCTCGTGCACAGTCAGATGGTGACGTCTGTCTGCAGGGCCACATTGGGGAGTAGTGGAGCCCTTGACTGGGCAGAAGCAGAGAGGGACCTGAGCCAGGTCATCTGGACGACTTGAAAGCTCTGCTAGAGAGTCCGTCTGGGACTGGGAGGGCAGGAGGCCGGGAGGAGGGCCCCTGGAGCTTAGGGTTGGGGTTTGGACCCCCCCAGCACGTGGTTCGTGTTATTGCACCACAATGGGGGGCCGTGTGGGAAGGCTGGTGGGCAGGAGAGGAGGCAGCAAGTACAACGTGGGCTCCTGTGGATGGTCTGCAGCTGCAGCGCCCAGGACGAGGTCCAGGGAATGTCCCTCCCTGCTGGGTGATGTATCTCAAGCACAGGGAGCGCTCGCTCTGCCCCGTTCTCGTGGCTGTGGGGCCCAGCACAGCCAGGGATCCGAGTGGTGGGCCTGTGGGCAGTTTGTGGCTATGGCTGCCTGGCGGCCCCTCCGGCACTAAGCTGGCCACATGCCCTCGGGACCTGCTGCCCGCTGATGGTGGAGGCTGCCTGGGAGCCCTGTTCAGTAGGGAGGGCGAGGGTTAGGCAGGCGCAGGATGGGCCCAGGCTGGCTTCCCCCATCAGTGTCCCTCGGGAGAGCTGGGCCAGGACCTCGCCCACCCCGCCCACCTCAACTCCCTGGGCATGGGGGTCCCCATAGACCCTGATTGCTGAGCCCCCCTCCCTGCCCCCTCCACAGGGGCCTTCCCTGGAGTCCGGCTGGCCCCGCTCCCACATCCCCCACAGCGCCTTGCAGGTTCACAGGTGCCGAGACCCACAGGAGGCTAACTCCTGTGTTTCCATCAAGCCCAAGAAGTCTTGCAAACGGCGGGAACCGATCCTGGCCAGCACGGCTGGAGAGGCCATCGAGAAGATGCTGGAGCAGAAGAAAATCTCCAGCAAGATCAACTACAGCGTGCTCCGCGACCTCAACAGCAAGGGCAGGGGCCTGCAGAGGGAGGATGCGCGGCCTGAGGACAGGGCCAGCGCCAGGAAACTGTCACGGAGGAAAACGCCGGCCAGCAGGAGCAGGGCTGACCCTGTGGCCAGCGTAGGGAAAAGGTACTGTGCCCGGCAGGCTGAGTGTCAGGGCTGGACTGGCGCAGGAGCCCCGGGGCAGGTGGAGGAGGCGTAGGGGGTGTTGGCTGCCTGCAAGCTGGGAACTGGTGTCATTGTCCAGCATGGCCGCCACTGCCCACGGCTCACCTTCACATGCGGGGCCGGAGCTGAGGAGGGGGCTCCAGCCCTCGAAGGTCCTGCAGCGTCAGGGTCTGCTCTGTTTCAAGGAGTAGGTGGGCTGGGCCAGTTCTCTAACCAGGGTCTGTTTTCCTGGGAGGGGTCCCTGTGTGCCCCTCCACCGGCTGCACTGCCTTCTCTGCCGAGACGGATGGGCAGGGAGGTGACAGCAAACTGCCAGTGGGAGCGCATGGGGCTGGGTGGAGAAGGTGTGAGCAGTGGCTTCACTAACTGCTCCTGATGGGGGCTAGTGAGGGCCGCCCTGCAGAGCCGGGTCCAGGCAGCTCTGCGAGCGCCTCCTGTGCCGTGGTGTGCTGGTGGGCGGCTGTGAGCCCACACCCTGGGCCCCCACAGCACCTGCCACTCCCGTGGCTGGTCACTGTGGCCCCTCTGTGCAGAGAGGCTGGTGCTCAGCCCCATGACCACCCACCTGGCCCCTGGGCACACTGGATACCGCAGGATGGGCGGGTCGCCCTGAGGGGAGGGATGGGGCTCGAGGCTGTAATGCCACACTCCCACCCACCCCGTCCCTGTTCTCCACTGCTGCCATTTTTAATCGTGACTCATCTGAGAAGTGTGTCCAAGTGTTCCCCTCTGATGATGGGCACGGAAGCAGGCACTGCAGGGTGGTCTGCCCCCATCCTCCTGGGCCTGGGGCCATGCTCCCCCAAGCCTGTCACCTCCTCTCTCGCTGGTCAGTCTGTGGTCACCGTGTGGACTCCCAGGCCATGGGAGGCAGCCAGGGGACCCTGAGCCCTCGGGTGCTTTGCATGCCTTGCAGGGTCTCCTTCCTCTCAGGACGGTCAGCCTGTGCTTTGGTGAGGCTGCACGTCGACCCTCGCTGGGGCTCATGACACCTGTCAGCAGTGTCCCCACAGGGATAGGCAGAGGGGCAGGTGTGGGCAGTGGTGCTTGGCGTCCCCTGCTCCACTCATGGTGCACACCAGAGCCCTGGGCTGCTGGGCCCATGTGCCCTCCCCACCCAGCTCAGCCTGCGGTTGTCAGGTGGAAAGTTGTGGGCACGCCCCCACCTCACGTGTCCAGCTGTCCCCCTGGGCCGTGCTGTGTTTGCTGTCCAGGCTGTGGGAGGTTTGGCAGCTGGATCAAGAGGTGGGTTTGCATGAGCAGTGGGGCAGCAGCCCCGCTGGCTGGCTGGGGACCCACTGGGGGGCTGGGGCTGTGGGCGAAGTGGGGGAGTGTGTGCTCCAGGTGCTCGCAGACCCTCCTGTGAGGTCCTTCCCCCCTCCCGTCCCCCCTCCTTCTCCTCTCTCTCCTCCCTCTCCTCCTGCTCAGAGAATGTGCACCCACATCTGGGCAGGGCCACATTCTTCCCCACCAGTGGGCGCTTCCTGAGCTGAGGACACCGTGCTCTACTTTCTTCTAGGTTGAGGCCAATGGTGTCAACGCAGCCGGCTAAGAAGGTGGCTGTGGGAGAGGTACGTTGTGACACAGCCAGGGTTGGGGACCTTGGGAAGCAGCAGACCCCAGACACGATGTCTGTGAGTGACCTGAGAAGACAGGCCCTGACGGAGGGAGCATCAGCCACTTCTGGTGCTCCGGTGCTGTCCCGGCCTTGTCCCAGCAGGGCAGAGAGTCTTGAGGCCCAAGGGTGGCAGAGGGAGAAGTGCCCGGGGTATGTCTGTTGCACAGGGGGCCTGAGAGCCTGAGCCTGACAGACAGCGTGTGCCAGTGTCGAGGCATGCCCCCTCCAGCCCGGGCCCCAGGCCGCCTGCAGGGCTGTCCCTGCCTGCGCCGTCTGGAGAGCCTCTATGTGGGCCCTGAGGCCCCAGTCCCTGGGTCCAGCCTGGCCGGTGCCGGCGATCCCTCTATCGATGGCGGCCTTGGCTTGCAGCTGGGCCCTCCCAGGCCAGCGCACAGGGGTCTTCCCTCCTTATTGCAGGGTCCTGGTCTGGCCCAGGAAGCAGGAGGCAGAAGCAGGAAGGGAGGGTCCCCGAGGGATCTTGGGGGCAAGCACAGGTCGTGGTCACTGGGGGTGGGCCTGAGCGTGAGCCTCTTCTAGACGGCTTTGCGGCCAGGCCGTGTTCTTGGGCAGGAACCACGTCTGCCTGCGGTGGGAGTGCAAGGCTTTCTGGAGGCTCCTGAGTGTGCATGGGGTGAGGGGAGAAGCCAGGGGGCTCAGGATGTCCTCACTGACTGCTCTTGAAGGGCGAGAGATGTCCCCACTGTGGGTCTCAGCCCACGGCATGGCCTCCAGGAGGCTGGACGGGGCCGGTGAGCCTTGGGAGCCCGGCTGACACTGTGAACAGCTTGAGTGTGGGGCCACTGTGGCGGGTGCCGCCGCTTCTCTGTGGTGGTCAAGGAGCCGTGTCCCATGCCCCGTCCCTTGGCGCAGCTGTCCCAGAGCCTGTACTCCTCGCTCGCCCACAGGCCTTGCTCCCAAGCTCCCCTGTTCCGGGAGCCGAGCCTGTCAGGCCTGCGGCGGTTGTGGTGGAGAGTGGACCTGTGTCATACCACCCCGAGGAGGACCCCGACGAAGAGGACCCTGACGAGGAGGACGGAGAGCCCTGCGTCAGCGCCCTGCAGATGATGGGCGGCAATGGTGAGGGGGCCGTGCGCGCTGGCAGGGCCAGCACAGGTGCTGGGCAGGGCAGAGGGTGCTCCCGAGTAAAAGGCACAAACCATCTGCCCCTAATGATCCTAAACTCGGGCCTGTTGGCTTCAAGGTAATCTATCTTTCACCCTGAAAAGAAACTTGAACGAGGACGTTTTATAAATTGGCTGTATTGGTTTTGAGGCCCTGCCTCTGGTGAGGGCTGGCCGGGAGTGCTGCCTGCCAGCAGAAGTAGGGCTCCCCACAGCGTATGGCTCACGCGGCTGCTCAGTGAGGAGCCAGGATCCCCGCTGCGTGCACGCCAGGCCATCCGCCCCAAGGACCTGCGGGGATGAAGAGACCAGAACGGGGGTCCCTACGGGTGGTGGTGGGGCCTATGTGGCTGAGGCCTGCAGAAGCTGTCCCTGGAGCCTCAAGGAAGGGGCAGCACAGTGGGGGCACCGGGGCCCCTTGGCCGCACCGCCCTCATCAGTCTGTGACTGTCCTTTGTGCTTTGCAGATTACGGCTGTGACGGTGAAGATGACGATGGCTACTGAGCTGTGACCTCGCATCCAGGCAGTGTCCTGGTGGGACACCCTGCTGGCGCCTCGGGAGGGATCCGGGGGCTCTGGGGCCAGGGCCTGCAGGCGTGAGCACTGAGACGCTTGGTGACGAGACAGGCGCTGCCCTGCCTGCTCCGCAGTCCTCGTCCATGGCCACACGTGGCCTTTGTAGCACTTGCTGTTGGGACTACGTTTTGAGCACTGTAAGAAGTGTTTGCCCGGCTAGGGGGACCAGACGGACTGTCTGCATGTGTCTGGTCAGACGTGGGTCTTAACAGCCCGAGAACTCTCTCAGGTGGGCACTGTTGTGTCCCCTGTAAGGACACTGAGGCCAGGGAGGCCTAGCACTGGTCCAGGCGAGAGGAGGGCTCGGCGGCTCCAGGACTCCACTCGGCCTCTCGTGGACCCAGTGCTTTGCACGCTCCCCTCCTCACTGTCGCTGAGAAGCACTTGGCGTCCAGCCCCTCCCTCTGCTGGTCCGGAGCTCTTGCAAGCCTCTGGCTGCAGCCCTCAGCCAGGCCCCTGGCCTCCCTCCTGCCACCTGGGCCCTGGAGGCCACGTGGATCTACCCTCAGGAGCCTGGAGGCTGCCTGGCCCCAGTCCGGCCAGCTGGTGAATTGAGTCAGTTCAGTATCGCTCAGCAGACGCACGACCAGCTCTATTGCGCTCGTATGCACAGGTGCCCTGGGTGATGACTGCGCAGCCTGAGCCAGGAGGAGAGCTGTGGGCGCTTCCTGTCTGAGCTGGGATCCAGCTCAGCATCCAGAAGGGAAGGAAGGCAGGGTTCCCCAAGCCCAGCCACTCTGCTCTGGATGGTTCCTGCTGCCGTGAACCACCCCTGGGAGCCAGGCCTCGTCCTTGCAAGGCACAGGGACCACTTTCAGGGTCTTCACTTGGGCATTGCTGCTCTGGGCGTAGCGGCGGGGGAGGGCAGGTGCTTCTGCCCCTCGAGGCCCCGGCCTTGGCTCTACCCCGCCCCCCAGGCGAGGATGACCACAATGGCAGAGCCATGCCCCACTTCCTTCCTGGGGGCCAAACCCCCTCCTGGAGCACAGCAGTCTGCAGGTAGGGGATTTTGAGGTCCTGTGTCTGCATCCTTCTGCCTGCACCCTGGGGCTCCGAGAAGTGTGGAGTGAGGGGTGGGTTTGGTGAAACAGAAAGACACATTACTCGAGCGGAAACCCGCTGAGGTTGTGGTCTGTGATTACGCGTCTGGCTCCACCCAGGAGGAGTGAGGCCGAGGCAGTGTGCCGGCCTCGTGGGTGGCTTACAGCGGGCAGGCTGGACTGCAGCCTCCTGCTGGCCTCCAAACTCCATGCGCCTGGCCCCGTTGTCAGATCCGTGATGGGGAGCCCGGCTCAGCACATTCTCAGAGCCACCTGTTCTCACTTCGTCAGCAATACCCCCTTTTGTAGGAAGTGCCCATGCCCGTCGTGGACTGTCCTGGTGCTGGGCCCTTCCTGGGGTCATGGGGCAGGTGAGGATCTGGCTGCGGCAGCTCTTAGAGGAGCCCCGAGGCTCTCGGGGCTGGGGAGCCTGCTGTGCCGTGCAGGGAGCAGACGGTGGGCCAGAGCAGAGATGATGGGGCAGGGGGGGCAGGTGGAGGTGAGGCAGTGGCTGTGGGGAGCAGCAGAGGAATCCTCTTCAGTTAGAGCTGCCTCGTGGGTGGCTGTGGGCAGCTGAGTGCTTCTGCTCAGAGGCTGGGAGAGAAGGGGTTCCTGGGCCCCCAGAGGGAATGGAATCAGGAGGAGTGGGCGGTGGGTTGGACTGTGCTGTTCTGCAGGAGCCCCAAGCTGAGCTTCCCAGAGGGGATGGTGCTGTGGCCCGGTAAGATGACGGGCAAGTGACACTCAGACCAGTGAGTGGGAGGAGGAGGAGAACGGGGAGGGGTTCTTCCAAGATGTTTGCAGCAGAGGGAGAGGCTCCTGGGGGGTGGGGGGTGGGGTGGGCAGGAGGTGGAGGAGGTCTGAGGGAAGGGGCAAGTGCCCTGGGAAGAGAGCTAAGGCCCGGGAGTAAACAGGCTGGTTCCCCAGCTCTGCCTCATCCACCCTTGGGGAGGGTGGAGGGGTTGTCGTGCTGGGAAAGGAGGCCGGAGGGAGGCTGGAGAGGGGCAGGTGGGGCCCGAGGACTGGATGTTGAAAGGGGAGGTCTGGGGCCGCAGTGACTGGGTGTCTGGCTGAAGCAGGAGGAGGGGAGCCCCAGGATAGCTGGAGGACAGGGAGGGGCCTGGTGGGGAAGGACTGTCCGCTGCGAGGATGAGGTGGGGAGCACGCCACTGGCCACCAGCCTCACCATGGTGCTGGAGAGCAGCTGGGAGGAGGCAGTCTGCTCCCCAAATGTGAGCCCAGCTCCCCAGGGCCCCTGAAGGCTGACCATCCCTATTGGTGCTGGGGGTCTCTCACGTGACTGGGGTGGGGCCATGTGCCTTGCTGTGGTTGTGCAGGTGTCTGCACACAAGTGTGTGATCAAGTGTGTGCCCTAAGCAGGCCAAGAGCATGTGCCTCCCCCCAGATTCTCCAGTGTCACACCCCAAGACCAGCCAGGCCCATTAGCCTCCATGCACAGCCGCACTGGGCCAGTGAGCCAGCAGGCGGCAAGCAGGCAAGTCAGCTGGCTCCAGGGGGGAGGGTCCTTCCCGCTCCTCCTGCCACTGGGCTTTCCCTGCTGTTTCCCGCCCTCCCCCACGTCCTCCTCACCTGCGTCAGTGTGTCGCCTCCCCAGAGGCCTGGCGGGGGGTGGGGGGGAAGGGGAGGACTTGAGCCAGCGCCAGCCTGGAGAGGGGACGGAGCACGCAGCCTCACGCACATGCCCGTCCACACACAGGCACACACACATGTTCACACGTGTGTAGTCCACTTATGCACACATATACACATAGCAAGTGCATGCACAAGTGTGCACACACACCTGTCTGCTCATACTATGGGCACACACGCACGGGTGTGTCCTGACCCGATCCCAGGTGCGCACGTCCTGAGGGGCTGCAGCCTCCAGAGCACCCTTCAGGGTGCCGGGCCCTGAGCAGGCGGATGTGCTCCAACCAGACCAGATCCACCCCCGATGATGACCGTGGGCATGTTGGTGCTCTGGATGGTGCTTCTTGCGGGGCACCCTGACAGGTATGTCCCTGTGCCCACTCCCCACAGAGGAAGGGAAGGGGATTGAGGCCAGGGGCTTGAGTCTGCGTCCCCAGCACCTGCTAGTCCCCCAGCCCATGCCATGCCGTGTGACCTTGCACCAGTTCCCTCTCCTCTCCGAGCCACAGAGCTGGGTCTACAGGTAACCTTCCTGGCAGCACTCACTGCCCCAGGCTTCTCCAAGAATTGGGGGGCAGGGCCAAGGGCAGGTCTGAGACTCTCCCCACCCACCCACGGCCCTCAGGCAGGGATGGGTCACGTCCTGAGCCAGCCTTAGCTCCAGGCTGCCTTGGCTGGAGCTTTTGCAGTCCATTCCCAGGCACCCTGAGCAGCAGTGGGAACCCTGGGGAGGGGGAGCAAGGGTAGGGCAGAAGGCAGGGTGGAACAATGGGAGCACCCCTCTGCGTCCACACCCCAAGAGCTGTCCCCACTGGATGTTGTCTCTCCAGTCACTCAAAAAGGTCGGCCTGAGCTGTGCTCTTCCACCCCCGCCCTGCTGCCACCAGTTGCTAGTGGTTTCCAGGTCACATCAGCCTGCTTGGCCTCAGGGTCTGTATGCCCTGCGCCCACGCATCTGGTTCCCACCTGGCTGCCCCCCCACCCCCGCTGCCCTGATGCAGCTGCACGCTGGTTTCTGGATTGGTCAGGCCTCTAAGTGGCTGATGGCCACCCACTGCCACCAAGACCCCTAGAGGCAGAGTGAGGGCCTCCTTGGAGGAGGGGCAGACACCAGGCAGCCTGAAAACAAAGGCCCACTGACACCACGTCTGGACTCCGTCACTGGCTGCCCCAGATGCCTGTGCCTTCCGGAGCCCAACCTGAGCCCCAGGTGTGTACCGCCAGAGGTCAGCACCAGCCCACTGCAAAGCCACAAACATGCTGCTCCCTGCCTGCTCGGCACTGTCACACCACTGTTCATCTCGCCTTCCTAGGACCAGGCGTGGGTGACAGCAACACCTCTGTCCATCTCCTGCATCCTTCTGTCCATTTCTTGCCCCCACCCCTGGGCCTTTCCTCCCCCCTGTCCCTTCGTCCACACCACCCTGGCAAACACCACACCCAGCTGCCTGCACCCCTATTGAACCCCCATCCTGCCCCCCAGGACTGGTCATGGTTACTGCAGCTACACCCCTAGCCAGCATGGGGCACCCCAGGACCAGCTGGACTTGGGCAGGACACTCAGCATCTGGGGCTGCCTCTCTGTTCCCTGTCCTGTGGCCTCAAGTCCAGGCCCCTGCCCGCAGCCCCAGCCCAAAGGTGCCTGCCCTGGGGCCAACCCCTACAGGGACCCAGCCACCCTGCACACGCACCCTGGTCTCCCCGGGGGACACCGAGAGGGGCCAGTTGGTTCCTGTGGGGAGGGGCTCCTGAGGCAGGGCTTGCAGGTGGCGTGTTGTCCAGCTGTGGTGCTGTGTCTGAAGCCCATGCCTGCATATGGCCGGCAGCTTCCCTGATTGGTCAGCGCCTGTCTGTGCCGTCGTGAGCCTACGTGCCTGGAGGGTTGGCTGGTCCCTGGGGAGCCCTGGGCCCCAGCCAGGCTGGCAAGGGGTGGGGGCCGAGGGAACGGCTCCAGGGCTGCGGGCCTCAGGCACTGACTACCCGGGCCCTTCAAAGGGGCTGTGGGCGGTGGCAAAGTGGAGGCTCTTTATGGTTTTCCTGCTGGGAGAGGAACCTGGCTCAGGAAGCCATTGTCCCCACACAATGGGCCCGGCTGGGACCCTTGAGGGCAGCAGCCCTAGATTGGTGGAACCTGACCCTGACCCTCATCACAACCTTGATCCTGATCCGCCTGACACTCTCCCCGCCACCCCGGCTGACCCTGGCCAGGCCGGTGGATGGCTGCTCCTGTCTGAGGCCGGGATACCAGGGGCGGGGGGGGTGGGTCATGATGGTAGGGCCACTCCTGGGGCAGCCCCTGGGTGTGCGGTGGAGGCGCCCTGCAGCCCAGGCCAGCCAGCAGGGTCTGAGCAGAGGGGTCGGGAGGGGCAGGTTGCTGCGGCCACTGGGCCTCTGCCGAGCCTGGAGGCCCTGGCTGACTGAGGTCAGAGCAGGGGCCGCGCCCCTGGCCAGAGGCAGGGCCTTCTCTGCCAGATAACGTGGGGGCTGTCCTTTCCTTGGCG